AAAAAGGTATTGCATTTCAGTCTCTTCCAAGTTTACGTTCTCCCATATTTCACATAATGGAACTTTTTCCTTTTTTTTTTTAAATTTGAATCTTCGCAATAGTCTTTCCTTTTCCTGTAATCCTTCAACTGTATTAGTTCATTTTTTATCTCCATTTTCTTCTCTAGTTCCTCTGCTATGTTTGTTTGCCTTGGGTGGACAGCAACCTTAGTTCTGTGCTTATGGAATTTTAGACGCTGCATGCTACTAGCAGTTGTGATGGGCTGGTGTGAGTGTGTTTTCCTTGCACATCGATTTGAATAATGAGATAATAAATGAGTTGGTGATGTTTCTGGGGAGACTTGATAACTTTGGTTTTATGATGATTGTTTTCTTCTGTTGGGAGAGAATCCATAGAGGTTCACTAATTTTGATGCAGATTGTAAATGATCAAAATAATTTTGAAGCCTTGTGTTATTTGACACATTTAGTCTATAATTTTCTTTACAACAATGTCTTTCAAGTTTTTAAGCCAGCAGGTTCTTTCGTTGTGTACGCAGCATGTGCAGTGGGTGAAATTATGACCTCCATAATCAGGCAAGATGCTACTGCACACTACTTAAATGTGCACATGTAGCTGCCATTTAAACGTGTTGTTGGTTGCCCTGAATACTGTGTGTCTGGAGAGCCTTCTAGAAGACTTCAGGTTAGAAATACATGTTTTCTTTCCTCATAACTTATAAAATGCCTGAAAGTGGGGCAGCTTAGAATATTTATCCTTGTTAAATATATAGTGAGAGGCCAAGCTATAGGAATTCTAAAATACTCCTGTGCATTTAACTATTTTTTTAAAATTTTTTTTTCATTTGATGCCTTTTTCTCTTTTAAATTATTTGAAAAATACACAAAGCTGCTGTTTGGGAAAATACTTTTTTTTTTTTATATTTATATTTATATTTATATTTATATTTATATTTATATATACCCCAGAAAACAGAAAAAATGCCAGAAAGTGCTTTTGTCTTTGTTTAGATGAATTGAATTTTCATTTTTCATGCCAAATGCCTTCTTACTTTAGAACTTATATAATAGTCTGCAAAGCATATTTATGTACAGTTGGTTATAGGTGGCAGCTCTAGTGATCTAAAAGCTCTCTCACAACAATCCTGAATAAATTTTCAGTTTGTACAAAACTAGTATTTGTAATTTTCAGTAAACCTCACAGTTAAGAAGGAATAGTAGGAAAAAAATATAAGCTGGCCTTGGTTCAGAAACCTGCTATTATAGTCTAAAACCACAAACAAACTGCTTGAAACTCAAGAGATTACAATGATCTTAAAGGATGGCTCCATCTTCTTCATCCTTTGCCTTCAGTTGATGGAGATATGTGATACAGGTGGTGCTCTGTGTCATGGATGGGTGTTTCTCTGGAAGAACCAAGGTTTAATGGAAATGGTGACTGCCTAGAGTCATGGGGAGTATTTCGCCTGTATCTGTGGAGCCGTCATTTCTCTGCTGTGCTTGCCAACAGGGTGTGTGTTCTTGTGATGTGTAATTCTCTCCACCAGAACATGGAAGCATGACTTAAAGAAGTTTTTACCCTTTAGAAAGAAAAAAAAAGTGTGTTGCCTATCCAAAATTAAATGGTTGCATGTGGGAGAAAAATGCTCAAATGTTTTTTTGAAGATAAAATGCAGAATACAGTGTAACTGGGGAGAAGTCAAGCTGATGTTGATCTCTTTCCTCTTGCAGCTGGAAAGGTTGAGAATGAGCATGTTGATTTAAAAGAGGTTTGTGGATATAGCTTGTTGTTTTTTGTTTTATTTGTATGAATGTTAAATACTGCTGGAAAGTACAGTATGAGCACATGGGCAAGGCAAGCATTTCTACAAAAGCTTTTTAGTGTTATAATCCTCCTTTCTGCTTCAGTGGGAGTGACTGAGAACTTTGAGGATGAAACTTAATCCTAGAGGAAATAAATTCCTCTTTATTTATTGGATCTTATTTAAGATACATTAAATGAATTTTAAGGACAGGCAATGTCTTTCATGTCTCTACAGCTCCTGGTATGCAGGTGGCTTGTTCCCTGTGTGAACATTTAAGTTCAGTTTAATAAAATGAATAATAATAAGCTCACATGTCTTCTTCTAATGCTGAAGGACAGCTGTGAAGATCTCTGAGAAGACTGTGTCATACTCTTCTTGGAGTATGGATGGGTCTTGGAGTGCTAAAAGCAGGAGAGCTCTACCCACAATATCACTCCTGTTGACGACTTCTCTGAATTGGAGTGCAGGGAGCTCCCCATCTAGTATCAGTTAATCTTAATCATTGTCTCAAGAGCTGGAGGAGAATGAAAAGGCAAGTCAAAGTGAGATGTTCCTCCTGGATCCCTGATGGAAGAGCATGCAGAACTCCTTAAAAGTAGAGCTGGAAGCAGCCTAGCTAACTAACAGTTCAACTATAAATTCGGCCAAAGTTGCCCAATTTGTCCGGCTCCTATAAGGGCCCAAAGTCGATTCTGCAAGGAGGTCATTAATGTCCTATCCAGATCCATTCAGAATTAGGTGCAGAGCTCAACACAACAAGGCTGTTTTAGGACTTCTTCTGAAGACCGTCTGCATGACACATGCAATGGGCCTAGTCTTGCTGTGCTGGTGATTTAGAGTCATTCTGCATGTCATGATGCATATGACTAGATCAGATAGGCTTAGTGTCATATCTATCGTGCATTACCTTCCTGCCATCTTTCAAAGCACACACATTTCCATTTAAGTATGAACTTGCTTGAACTTCTCTGTAAATTCACAAGCATCTCACCAATGTAAATTATTCTGAGATTGCCAAATCCCTTTCTTGTGAATTGAGAGTCATGCTGAGGTTGACATTTTGTTGGGAAATCGTAGGCTTTTTCTTGGCAGCATAGTATAATTTTATAGTCCTGCCCAACAACAGTGCTTACATTACTGAGAAGAATGGACATGTGGATGCATTGACAGGTTTTCATTCTGGTTTTGCTTTCCATGCATCACATATTCAGCCTACTTTCTGAAAAGATAGCTTACTGGAAATTATTAAAACTCTGAAACACCATTACAAGTTTATGCATGTAAGCGAACAATTATAATGTCTTCTGTGCAAGCACAATAACATCATAATTCATACAATTTGTACCTTAGAGATGTCTGGGATTATAGGGGGAAAGGGAGAGAGAAAGAGAAGAAAATTAAAATACTGAATCTAGGAGTACAAGAATCTGATATAAAATCTTTAAGTTCTACCTTGCCATGGTACAACAAAATCCAGTCAGAATCTGGGCAACTGCTGGGGTACCACTAGTTTAAAGCTCATGATGGATTTACACCCTGTCCCTTCCCAGGCATCGTGGACTCATGGCGCCATTCACTTTTCCTTAAAGATTGTCCTATATAGCAGATCATTGTTCATAGCTCTTGGAAATCTGTGGTCTGGAGTCTGTAATCTGGAGAAATTCATGAAAATCTATGAAAAATAAGTGAATACTGGACCTGATTCATACTATGTAAATTATTTAGTTGAAGAGGAACTTGGAGCTGAGTCTTCATACTGGGTCTAAGCATGTGGCTGCAGTTAGAATGATGCTGCTGCAGGCAGTACCTCTGTCTCTCTGCTTAGGAAGACTGGAACAACTCCTCTAAAAGAAACAGAGAGATTCCTGTGTTCACACTAGCCTGGGAGATCACCTGAGATATGTAAGACTTGGGAGACAGGGGGGTGACAGCTGAGGCTTTCAATGTTAGGTCCTCTAATGATCGGCTCTTTTTCCATAATGTCATTTAGAAGGTTTATTCTTGTTCTGGTTCAGAATGCAATCTTCCTTTTAGGTCTGGGATTCAGTATGTTGCCTATCTCTCCTGTTCTCCACATTCAGTCAGAGCTCTGAGATTCCTTTCTCACCAGCTTTATTTAACATTTTATGGTTTCTATGTGTTTACTACACAAATTGCTCATAAATTGGAATACTAAATGAAATTTAACTTTAGTTTTCAATCCTGAGTACTGCAGTGGTCAGGAAGATGTTTTGTGTGAGTCTTGGTGGCAAAGTGTGGTGTAAAGGTGTGTGTTTTTCCTTTTCCTTAGTCTAGTATGAGGTGACGATGTAAAAGTTTCTTTTCCTCTTACTGCTAACAATCCACACATTAATGCCTTATAGGAAAAATAATGCTCTTGAGGTTACCATATTTTTCGTATGTTTACACTGTGGGTTATCTCTGGTTTGAGAGATTTGTTTGTTTTTAAACATGGGCCAAGTCAAACCCTGTGGTTTAGCAGCAGTGTGTATTGTGTGTGCAGGTGTAACAGAAGTTTTATTCCATAGTTCCTTCCTTAGTGGTATCCTTGTCTCTTGTGACTTGCTCACTCTGTGCTTATGAGTTATCTGTAAACTTTTTTTTTAAGAACTTTTTAAGGACTCCAAATTACCTGAAGCAAAGGTTATATATGTGCAAATACAGTGCTTTTATTCTAGGCCTCTGGGATACTATTGCTCTGCAAAATATATATAGAGGCTAATAGAAGTGGCTGTTTCATGACGTACCATGCACTGTATGTTACTCTGGGACTATAAAACTTGATTTGCTTGTCAGTCTAAGAAGACCTAGTACACAGTAAACACCCATGTAGTAAATCAAGGTGCCTTGCACTTACCACAAAAGTCATTTTCAAACAAAATATATGTCTTGTTCAGTTAGGAGAATATGTGCTAAGTATCCCCACTATAAATCATGAATCTGAATCACAGAAGAGTGATTAGTCAACTTGCAGGTATTTTTCCACTTATATTGCCCTGTAAAAGTAAACAGTTATTTTTTCTTTTTTTTTTATCATTTTTTGTTACAAGTTCTATTGACTTGGCATTTATCAGGAGCTGGTAACTTCCTATTGTTGATACTTTCAGATTTCTAGTTGTACTCCTATAGAACAGGAAACCAAGAGAAAGCATTTATTTTATTTTAATTTTCCTCCACTATCTCCCATTTCCACAGAATATCTCCATGCATAACACAGTTGGAGTAGCAATGGCAGGACCTGGATCTCACCAGCTGACAAATACAAGGATGCCAAACCATGACACCAGCGTTGTGATTCAACAAGCCATGCCTTCTCCACAGTCCAGTTCGGTCATTACGCAAGCACCTTCCACAAATCGACAGATTGGGTGAGTCCATTTCCATGTTCTCATTTCTGTAGTTTTCTGGCTCCAGGAGCTGTGTGGATATTGTTTTTGTGGTTCTTAAGGTTCAGTTGCACACAGACCAGATGTTGTTCTCATGGTTCTTGAGAAGTTAGCTCTCGATCCTGCCAGCATGCAGTAAGGACCCCTGCAATGTGTTGCAGACTGTAGGGGAATGGCCAGGTTACTACATCTACTCTGAACCTCACACTTCGATTCATAAAGGGCAGAGTGCTTTACTTGCCGGGAAGCCCTGCTTTCTCCATCCAGAGTTTTGTTTTTATCAGCTTACATTTGAAGTTCATGTTGTTTCTATGACTGCTCTGGGAAGAAAGATAGAGTATTTCTGAAGCTAATCTTATCACTTCCTTCTGTGTGCTCAGTGGGATTGGGCTATTTTATGCGTACTCTGTTTAACTGAGGAATGCTGGAAGACAAAATAAAAAGACCGTAAAGATAAATGAATTTTGTCACAGAGACCTCTGCAAACAGTTGTTCAATTTATGATGATGGATCCATATTTATTCCCATGAATCGACAGCATGGATGCTTATTGTATTGGCTTCAATGCCAGTTGTGTGCTCCTGTTTGGAGAACTGTGTGAACAAAAACATCCATGTTTTGTACACATGGTTACTTCAAGCAAACATGAGGTCCTCATAAGTCATAATAAGCTGTTTTTAATTATACAGAAACTGCCCAGATGGTTTGAGGGTATAGTTTTTCATCATACAACTCCGAATTTGGTGTGTGTGTGTGTGTTTATGAATGAAAACAAATGGATAAGAAGATATATCAGTGGACTAAGAAAGAAGACACAGTCTAGATTCATTATCTGTCTTTTGTAATTTGGTCACATTTATTATATGACAAGTGCAAAAGCAGTTTCTATCCCCAGTCATTGTCTAAATAATTGACGAGCCTCTTCAGAGTAAAGCTGAAAAGTTAAATCCTGGCATTTAAAACTCAAAATCCAGTTATTCTTGAGTTTTATTTCAAGATTCTTGGTGGCTGGGGGAGGATGTAGACCACTGGCTCTCCATCTCCCAGTGCCATGGAGGCAGGGGTAGCCTGTGGCACTGGCTGCTCTGGAAGGGTTGCCCAGCTGTGCACAGGACACTGATTCCATCCACTGCCCCATTTTGTGCTCCTTCTCCTCTATTTTCCTTTTTACTACTATTTCAAGTTTTGGTTCTTAGTATAGAAATCTGATAGTATGGGTCAGGTAAATATACTTGATAGATGTGCCTTTGTTACATATTGACAAAACAAAGTGTTCACTGAGATTTCAGTGCAATACTCTTTGCCTGTGAATAAAAAATGTTGTGTTATATATATCCCATTCTGTTCAAAGATGGGGGTGGGAGAAAGGGAGAAAGGAAGAAACAGTTTATTTTACAGTTTTAGAAAGAAAAACAGCTAATGCCATTGTTTGGGTTAAGGATGATTGAACTCCTGTTCAAATTGTGACTTAATAGGTCTAGTGGTAATTATGAGCCTAATTAAAACAAAAAAAAAAATCAACAACCCCAAAACCAACTTTTAATAGTCAGTGGTGAGGTATTTTATATGGGTCTGTACTTGGCTTCCAAACAATTGTTTCTATATAATGAGGAAAAAGCTGCATGTGGTTTTGCAAGACCCTGTCAGTCAGGTTTTAGGTTTGCGTTGGTTCAGGGCCATGGTGATTAGAATCTCCAAACTTGGAGGGGTTGAGGATAAAAAAACCTATTTCCTAGTCAGTGGTGAATGTCTCATTGGGGAAACTTTGTCATGACATATCTTAATTCTCCGTTGTGATTGAATCATGCAAACATTTCCTAAGTCTGAGTCTAAAGCTGCTCTATTGGGAAGCAATTGTCAGCATTTTAGTCTCTGTGTGAGCTGGTATGTGAATGAGACTTACGGTGTGACCTCCAGCATACTCTCTTCACCATTCTTCCCTCTTCCTAGGAGCTTTTGTTTTTTGTTCATGGTGTGTCCTAGGAGATAATTGCTGCATTTTCAGCTTCATCTTGTTGCCAAAGTGTTGAGAATCCTTGTTGTTTGTTGTTTTTTCCTTCAGTCTTTTTGTTGTGGTGCCTGTTTTATTTATTCAAAGAACATATCTTGTCATTTCCATTTATCTTCATCTTATCCTTCTAAAAGTCCTAAGAATTATACCCAAGGCTCATTCATGAGGAATACAGACTGGACAATGGTTTTGGTATTAGGCAACTGAATAAAAATGCAGATGGGTTCAGAAAATGTTTTGAGTTCAGAAAAGTTTGGTGGTTTTGGTTTGGCCACACAAAGTTAAGATGGTTCAGCTTTTTAACAAGCCCAAATTCTGAGGTGCTCAAATCAGTGGTTTTGGGTTGGGTTCCCACCTTTTTTTTGTTTTAAACATCTGAAGCTGCCCCAAAGGGTAGATGAGTCCTTACCATGGAGAATTGTGCCAGGGAATATGCCTGTTAATGAGCAATAAAACCAACAGAGAGCAACTGGGTAAAACTCTTGTTGAGTTCTGTAAGAGCAGGATCAAGCCCTAAAGGTTATATAGAACCATCTTGTAGCAATATTCTGATTTTTATCACAACCACAAATATTTTAGTGTCAGGCTATGGCCAAGCCACCTGCAAATGTTTGTGATGGCCTTACTCCAACAAAAACAGGGAACAGCAATGAAAAGTCCTCATTTAGACCCTGCTTGTAGGCTGTGCTCTGGTAACAGGGAATGGGACCCACCTGTGCCCACACACAGTTTGTTTCATGGTGAGGAGCGGGTGAGTTCACAGCAGCTGACATTCCCGAGGGATGTAATTTTCTCTTACTTTCTTCTCCCCTTCTCTCTTTCATCCATCTCCCTCCATTCCTCTCCCTCCCTCCACGCCTCTCTTTTTTCCTGTGCCCTACTCTGGCTCTGGGGGCTTGCGTATAAAATGAGATATTGACAACAGGCATGGGAAAACATGACAGAATGAGTGTTGTTGGGCAAGCCTTACTGGCACAGTGTATATACACACATTGTTTCAACTATTAAGCTTCAGCTACTACTGAACAGGCATCCAGCCAGATTAATCAGAAAAAGGGAAGAGCACGAAGGTTAATAACTTAAAAAATAAGACAGGGTGCAGTCCCACTTCCTCCCACCATGTACCTTGGTTGAGAACCAACAGCAGTATTATTACAGCAAACTGGCAGGTTGGTAAAAAAGGGCCCAGATAGTATTTATGTGGTGAGGCAGTCTCTAACCTCCTTGCCATACCTCCTCCCTGCCCTCCAAGCCTTTAACATGTGGGAGGAATGCTGTAACTAGTAACTACTTGTGCTGATGAAAAATCAGTTGAGGAACACTTAGCGGTGAAGGGTGTCTTTGGCTGATTAATAGCACATCATATGGAGATAAGATACATGGAGGAAAAACAGTAAGGCATATGGAGGAAGGGAAAAAAATGATATAAGACATACCTTTGTCAAAGATATAGAAAAGCAGATAGGCTGAATCAGCTTAAGATATGGGACTGTGAACTAGGCTGTACAATAGCAGTGCTGGTCTGCTTTTTTTTGAGTAACTATTTTTCTTCAGTGACCAAGTTCAGCAACGTATGTGAAAAGTGTGGTCAGACAAATTGGTGACAGCACAGTACATTGGTTGCTTTATCTGGACATGTCTTTTGCTAGATAAGGTGTCTTTTTCAGACCAGTGAAGACTGTAGGTAGCTGCAGCTGAACATCTCAGCGCTGCTGGAGAAAGTAACCTGCTGCTGATTTTCAAGCCAGTAGCAGATATAACTGTTAATTATTCCAGCTTGAAACTTATTGGTACAGCTCTGAAGCTGAAAGGGACCACGAGAGGATTGAGGGTTGTCACACATGGGACTAACCCAGGTTCAGTGACATAATGGAAAGCAACAGACTCATTGTGACTGCCTTGGGGATTTGGAAAAAGAGAAATCTTCTCAGACGTAGTCTTAATCAGGGGCACCTAAGAGGGCAGAAGAAAAAGGCTCCTCGGTGGCAAGCACAGGGTTTTTACCATAGCAGCAAGCTATCTGAGACTGTAGCTGCTGGTTCAGCTCTCAGAGTATCCTGCTGTCATCCTTTATAGCTCAAAGAAACAGAAGAGACTCCTGTAAGAGATGTTCACAGGTAGAAACCCTTCCATAATGCAGCTAGTTCTGGAAGGCATTTGGAATAGGTTAGTAACTCTGAAGGGTCTTTGTACATTGCCAGATAAAGTTTCTCTTTAAGCTCCTAGTAAGTTGGAGGAGTATATGGCATCAAAGAGGCCACGGAATGATGTGCTTTTATTTAATTCAAAGACCAGTTCCCTTTCCAGGAAACCTGGATAAAAACCTCTGTTACAACTCATGTATTTGAACTGAAACACCACAGTATGTTGTGAGATGAGAAGAAATGTGCAGTGAGAGATGAAGTATCAAATAACCTCTCAGTTATTAGATCAGGTCCATTCCATAGCCTTGGCTTTACAGGATGCAAGAACATCACTGGAAGGGGAGGAAAATGGAGAGGTGGGAAGAAAGAGCATCTGACTGTGTCATTTTAGCCCAGTATTTTTTTCCCCTGTCTTTGTACTCAAAGGTGGGCTTTATTTCCTGTTTAATGAACCTGCTTCTTTTTCTTCTGTTTATGCTAAGACATGTTTTCTGTAGTCCCTTTTACCACACTGACCTTAGCCAACCTTAACATGGAATCCCATCCAGCCAAATGTGTGCAACAGCCACAAGTCTCTGGGAAGCTGAGGTGAATTACTTAGGAAATTATTACAAGTGAGCGATTCACAAAAACAAGTCTCATAGCTCATGGCTAGTAGGCAGGGTGATTAGGGAGTAAAGGAGTCTGATGGATCCTCTCAAGCGGTTTCACCCCTTTTAGCTAGCCACTGCCTAGGTCTGCACGTTGACCTGCAGATGGAACTGTGCTGCTCTCTGTGTGATGTTTGGAAGCTCTGTCTGCTCCCCAGCCTCCCCTGTTGCTGTTTG